ATATGCAGAGTTGATTGTTCTCCTGTTGACAAATTCATCGTTTTGTCCAGCCCTGAAAACAGTCCTCAAAAGCCACGGTAAAATTCCGTTATGATTAATTATATTGATAAGCATCCAGCCCTGAAAAAAATTGACTAAGCCTAACATCTATTACTATTTGAACAGGTTTGGTAGCTCTGTTTGTGCTGACAAGTAATCGTCTTGTCAAGCCCAGAAAATACTCCTCAAAAATCGAGGTATGTAAGAATAACATTGAATTGTTTGYGCCTATCAGTGATTATTTGCAGTCTCGCTTAGTGTTTTGTTTTTGTCATGTTTGTTTGTTTCTCCTACTTTTCTCCCTCCTTTTGTTTTTATTYTGTCGTATTTGTTCAACTAACAGCTGAGTTATTTTTGTATTTGTTTGTTTTATTTTGTATTTATTATTTTTTTTAGCTTTTGAACTAGTTTAATTTGACCCTTCTTTTGTTTTCATTTCCCTTTCGATCGTTAATTTCTGCTCTTTTGTGGCTTGTCCTGATTGTATATGGTCACATGACAACAATGCTCCTTTTTTTTCCCCATAACAAAACATTATTCAAATGCAAGGACGTTATTGAACCAGCAGATGTAAATGATTGTGAAAATCAAAAGCAGAWCAGGTAAAGATTAGAGCACTCATGAATACCATCGTTTAGTATTCTATAGCGTTAAAATTCATTTTACGAAGAGAGAGGCTTAGAGATGGCATACATTTCGTTATCTTTTCCAGGAATACCAATGTTCTGCCTCATACTTTGGAAATGCTTGAAAGCGTTGTCGAGTCACTGCCGTACGATATCAACGGCTACAAAAAATTTGTGCTCCCTTGTGATCCAAATAACATAATGAAGTCAAGCAAGGATGGACGCCCCTGGAAAACGTGGGTTACATCAAATAGAGCAGATTTCAATGGGATACGACGTCGAAGTCAGTGTACTGGTTCATGGATGTGTCCCAACGAAGAATGCACATTTTTACAAGAAAGGAAGACGAAAAATAATGTGCAATTTGTAGGGCCAAAAAAAGAGAAATGCTGCTTCGTATRTGAGTCAACGGCAAAATTCATACCTWGCCCGGCGATAAAAGTGTGGGAGTTCGACAAAAACAAGACAAAGGTTACTGTTTATCATCAGGGCAATCACACATGCCCCCCAGTTTCAAGAAAATTCAGCGAAGCGGTCAAGGCAGAACTGAAAGATACATTTCWGAAAAATCATACACTTACACCCATGCAAGTTGCCAGCAACAAAATAGTTGAAGCGCTGAAAGAAGTAACGGACTGGGATGAAATTGACAAGCTCGCTGAAAGTCTTGCCGATACGAGAGGCATAGAGTCAGTAAAAAAGAGCTCACGAAAGGACAACCTTGGACATTCGTTCGAGGCCCTTGCTGATTTTAAAGCTCAGYGTGACAAACGGGATCCTTTTTTTATTCATAAAATCAACGATGAGAGGCATAACAAGGAAATGTCATTTGTTTTTAAAGCATCGAAGTTCCAAGCAAGTCTTGGAATATCTATGGATAGGGATGGAGAGGGATTACTACGTGATCAGTATTGTTATGTGGACGCAAAGCACAACAGGTGCGCGGGATTTAAAACTATCACYMTGKGGGTGTACCATCCCTTGATACGTAAAGTTGTGAAGTTGGCCACCATGGAGTGTAAAAAAGAAGACACTGACGCCTTGGTGAAGTTTTGGTCAAACTGGAATGAGGTAGGGCACAATACTTTTAACAGTTCCGTTCGGTGACCACGAATAATAGGCCAGGTTGGAGTTGCCGTGCAAACTACAGTTTTCCTATTCCCGGCAATGCAATTCCAACCACGACTTAAAAGGAACTGTAAAARCCATAGTCTGCGCTGCAACCGGAATTCSGGATGCAGCRCACGCTATAGAAATGAGTATTACTATCATGGGCGTAGCTAGGATCTTATCGGAGGAAAGATCAATTGCCTCATTTCCTTTTTTCACAATGCTTTATTTTCCTTTATTGTTGTTCTTTTATTTTTTGCCCATTATTCAGGTACGCAAGTGCGTATTTTGGCGTACAGTTAGCTACACCCATGACTATTTAATCTTTCCTGGGACAAAAATTTCCGTCGAAGAAAAAAAAACATGTCTGCATGTTCGTTGCTGCATGGACGCGGACATACATTCTTATTCATTATATTTTGTCGTTCTTTACGTTAATGTTCACAGGTATTACAAGCTGTGTCTGGGGATCCCATCTATATGTTTAATCCTACTGGTTTCGTCATGGATGAGGCTGGCGGTAACTGGAACGCTTTGAAAATTGTGTTTGGTGATGATGCAGATTCCAGGGCCGTGTCCTGCGAATTCCATTTTAAACAGTCTGTTGGACGGAAATCGCATAAGATTCCTCAAGACAGCAAAGCACGTTTTGAGTCGCTTTCATCTGCGTTGTTAGAAGCCAGCACACCTAGTGTGTTTGAAAAGCGACGTGCAGATTTGAACCGCTTTATAAAGGAAAAACCAGAARAAAGAGATTTTCTAAAGGAATGGGTAAAATGGTGGGAAGCACGAAAAACACATATCTTCAGAGCTTTTAAGGGTACATTTAAAATACCCCACATGAATCTGGCAGAGACAGGGCATTCAACATGGGCAAAATCAGGAGCCTGTAATCTCACTCTCGTAGACGCGGCAAGGCATGACGTGGGCGAGAACATTCGGTTGGAAAAGATCGTCCAGGGATTCCTGGATGGAAGTATCAAATCTACTGGGAAGGGTCCAAGTTCTAGTGCAGCTGCTACCCGAGACCATGCGGCACAAATGGCGAGGGCACGAGACTACGGAAAAGAAATCCTTGATCCCCATTTCGAGGGAGATCCTTATAGTGCAACTGACGTTCATTGTGATATTGATCCCTCCTCATCCCATAGCCCAACTAAACGAACAGGAAAATCACGATCTGCCAAACCCGCCAAGCCGAAACGACGCAGTAGAGATTTTCAAGCGCGTCTGGCAAAAGCGAAATCTGAAGCTGCTGAAATGTACCTCTCACGCAAAGTGCTCCTCGCTTCTGATTACTGTAGGTTTGTACTCACCCACGAAAACAAAGGCTACTTCATTGACATCAACCTTACTCCTCGCTGCTCTTATCCCGATTTTGGCCAAAAGGATGTTTGCAAGCACCTTCTTTGGGTTTATCTTTTCGCTCTGAATGTTGACGAAAATAGCGACGTGCTTGAGAAGAAAACGCTAACCTTAGACGTCTTGCATACTCTGCTAGGCACATCACCGGATCAGCGCTCTAATCCTGGAAAATCTGCTGTTACACACACAATAACAACACAAGCCACATCGACTTTGCAAAGTTACGCTTCACTTTCACATTCCAACTCATTACACGTACAAACCAATACACCATCTCTACAATCTCACACGTCGACATATCAGACAGATCAAAGAATATCACCTCTGCAACTACAGCAGCAGCGACAGCAAAAGCAACAGCATCAGYCATGGCCACCTCACCAACAACAGCAATCATGTCAGCAGCAGCAACAACAACAACAACACCAGCAACGACTATGGCAACACCAACAACAGCAATCATGGCAACAGCAGCAGCAGTAACAACAACAGCAGCAGATGCAAACGCAACAACCACCAAATCCATCAAATTACTGGTACACAGGACAACGCACGCGAGGTTTAGCTCCTGTTAGTTTACAACAGCAACAACAACTCCTACAGCAGCAGTCAAGAAACAAATCTACAACACATCATACGCAACTTAGGCCGAATAGGCACAATCCATTCGCCCCTTCTCCTGGTTATCCCAACCCTCTTTATGGTAGTTATATGGTCTACTTCCTGCAATTCTGTCCACCACAAGTAAAATCGTGTTTCGGGTGTGGACAAGCTTTAAAACCAGGGGGTAAAATTGGTAATCCCCCACATGATCTAGTCATTGTATCTAACACGACCAGGTCATATTACGATCAGGCAGGACTACTGAGAGATAGACCTGGGAATGTATATTACCACGTCAACACGGGCTGTCTTAAAAGGCAACAGGCTTATTTTGTTTCATCGTTAGTCCAAATACCYCGSGTTATCAGGGATATGCTAAATCAGGCACACCGTAGTMATTTAATGGAGTTTGGTTTAGKTTTGTAATGTTTTRCTGGTAGTGTTTGGATCAGTAGCTCCAAACACCAAATCTGATGAAAGCATAAGACCCATGTAGGTATGTTTTTGAAGTGTTTAAGAAATGGCTTCCAGTAATTAACATTTAATAAACGCGGTGTCTGTATGGCCGGCAGCCGGCCAGGGTCTTCAAATTACTAAATGAYCGGCAGTCGAGAATTTTTGTTTATAACTAGCTGGAAATATAGCCAATCGCTTCAAAGCTACTCTACAGTCAAAAAAATGCACATTTTTTCCAGCCCAATCTGATTTGTATTCTAATAGCACAGGGTTGTGAAAAAGTGCCTGGTGATTCTTAAAATAAAGTTTTTTTAATTTGATTGCTATTTTAAATTTGTTTTGAAGAAATATAAATATTTCTCGACCGGCAGTCTATAGAGTTCAGTATATACTTCAACACTCATCGSCTTTACCCCGAAATTTAAATACTTCAACTCAATTGTCGCAGTCCAAACGAATCTAAAAAAACCGAGCCTTTTTTGATTTTAAAAAGCGATTGGGTTGGAAAAAAAGTGCATTTTTTTGACTGCCGGTCATTTAGGAATTCGTGTTGCCTTTTGACCGGCAGTCGTGTGGKGATTTCTCTGTCTCACTGAATTCATGGCTTCGTATTCTATGTCGGGCATCGACGAAAAGTACAATATGAGATCTAAAACGTTTTTCGTGTTCGCTTGGGGTAATAGAATAAAGTTAGAGTAGCTTGGAAGCGATTGGCTATATTTCCAGCTAGATATAAACAAAAATTCTTGACTGCCGGCCATTTAGTAATTCGAAGGCCCTGGCCGGCTGCCGGCCATATCGACACAGCGTTTAACGTTTAATAAATGAACCTCTGGCAAAAAAAAAAAAATGTAGATAATACTCAGTGGTGAGTGGAATTTGGAAAGTCTGGGTTCGATCCATATAATTTTATATGAATTCATATTGTACTAATTATAGTGTATATTTAGTCAAATAAACATAACAGCAAACAAAAGAATTAGAGTGAAGTAGTTCTAAATACGCTAAAGCATTTTATACCACTCTGTCATTTGTAATAAACATCTTTCGGGCATTAACATGTTAAACAATATACCAGCTATATATAACGAGTGAGTGGTTTTTGTATGTTTATTTTCGAAKTAATTCGCGAATTAAAGTAGTAGACCCAGAAAGGAAGTCACAAGATATCTTCAGGTTTATTTATTTCGAAATTCGCATTTCGAGTTCTTTAAAAAAGATTGATAGAAAATATAACGGTAAATTCCCACTGGCTAGTGATCTTGTGCTATTGAGTAGCTACTTATGACGGACTCAACTCGAACTCGAAGTCCAACTCGACGTGTTACGACTCCCACTCAAAACGCCTTATTTTTAACATCGATAAATTCATCGCAAAGTGGCTCTACGACTGAAAGCATGCGTCGAGAGCTTTTAAGTATATCCATATCAGCAATAAAGAAACAGAAGAAAGAACTCGAGAAGGCCATAGGCATTGGTCACGTGATTATTTTTTCTGTCCAATGACAGCAAGAGGAGCATAATTTTTAGGAATAAGTCAAGCATTTCTGACGCACACGGCTCAAGTGCTTGGCTCAAAGATACAAAACACGAGGATTTTTTGCTATTTAATTAAGAACTGGTTTTTTCTCTAGAGGCTGGATCGTTCAATCAAGTCTGGTTGTTTTCCATTGTTACGGTTGATGACCCACGTCGACCTCACACACACAAAGTTTCATTTTCACAGTACTTCAAAGTTATTTTATTGCAAGCCAACGTCTATATCGTCACAGTGTGCTTAAACCGTTGGTATTGAGCAACGACTGGGAAGATATTCATTATTCAGCTAAGCTCCTTCTTACGGATGTAGTTAAATCCTTCCAGATGGRCCCAGAAAATTCCACAGGTTGTCGAAAAATGAGCCAACGAATCTCGAAATGTAAGGACTTAAAGTTACAAATTTAACAGTATTAAAAACTTCGCCATTCCATTTATAACTAAAGTCTAGGTGATTTGGTGCATTGCTTTACTATAAGCAATAAGCCTTCTTGAAACAAGGATGCACTCAAGTAGGTAAAGTCCTTATCTTATCCTATCAGATCTTAATGCTTCCTTATATAACAGCACCTTTGCCCAGTCTGAAAAGCCCAGTGCTCATCCCCAACAACATTGTTCAGTTCTGGCACTATGAAAATCCATATAAATGCATATGAAAATCCATAGTCTAAAATCTAAAATATCAGAGCAAGAATRCTTTAGTTTTGACAAATTGCCAGCTTAAAAACTTGGTCACTATCTTATCGTCTTGATCCATTATCTTAGTTAAATGCGTCGAYTCTAAGCTGGTTTTTGTAGCATCTATTTCAACAAACAGGAAGTATTTTAAGCTATGAGAAAAACAATTTCTTTCGGAAGGAAAATAGGTAATGTAGCTTCATATTATACAATAATGTCCTTGCGCGTTTAATTTGTTTTTTGTTTTTTTTTGTTTCGTATTATCTTTGAATAAAAAATTTTCCACCAACTCGCGCATCGAAATTAACAGTTTTCCTGTCTGCATGGGCGGTTTTGTCCGCAGGGTTCGTGCAAAGCTTCTGCTCTATCGACTTAAAACAAATACCGAAGCTGCTTGAACGAGAACATMGTGTGAGGAAGTGGTTGTGTTCTTAACAAAATAACCAAACCACATATAGTCGCTACTGCTGAGCGCATTTTATAGCGTATAAAAACTTGATCTGGGAGCTTATGAGGGCAGCATACCTCTAGCCTTTATTGGATCAAGAAACTTGGAATTCAGTAATTACTTTCTGAAGATTTTTTTTTTTTTTTTTTACAAAATCCTTGTATAAAGTATCAAATATTTCGAAAATTATTTTTATAAAAAAAAATTGTTTATGAAAAAATTATAGCTATAGGTCTGAGTGTTTAGCTTTATTTGAATTGTTTTAATGTGTGGAGTTCACACATTATGATAAGACAATCATGTTTGCATATATTGTTTTTTGTGTGGGTGGGCTTGTAGGTTGCGTACTATGCATTGCATATATATTTATAAGTAAGTTTTGCAATATAGTGGATTTTCCTTCCAAAGTTTCGTTAATTCAATGTAGTTGTAATTTCTCTCTGTACTTGGTATTTACTATTTCATTTTCAACCTCTTTTTTTCGTTGAAATTTTCACGAAATAGTATGTCTTCTTTCCCTGAATAATTTAATAGTTATTTATCGTTATACTTGTTGTTCTTTCGGGCCTACATTTTTTATATATTGCCAAGCAAAAATAGAAAAGACGATGCGTGTGGTTGTTTTGTAGTTTGGTTATTCCTTCGATCGATTCGTTTTGCCCGAGGCGATTGAATTCGCATGCTGCATAAAGTATTGCTAKTTCTGCATTTTGCGCAAAATAGGCCGTTGTTAGATTATTATTATTTATTAGATAAAGCAAGTCTGCCCTGAATTGATAATTTAACAATTGCTTTGCCCTAATTTGTAAACTTCACATTCTAAGTCTCGAAACAGACAGTTGATCTAATGTTTCATACATGTTCTTTGCATTCAAACGAACACAACGAAAACAAGCTTACTATAAGTTTTGCACTAAATTGGTGTTTTTTTCCCCCCTCACTAATGTTGATATTATCACTTTTTTCTTTCAAGTAGATAAAGCCTTTGTAAGATATTCACCAGTTCATTTATTTTAGATCTTGAAGCGGGTCAACAAATTAAAAGGAAGCTTTTTAGATATTTCATTTATCATAAGGCATCATTGAGGTAATGACTGGGTGTTCCGAGGCTAAAAAGCATTTGCTGGAAGACTGTTTAATTTTGCGGGGTGTTTATAGATACGATCATTTGAGAGACACATTAAGTTAATGATAAATTGTTGGGCGTTCCAGCTTTTTAAAAAATATTTTGGGGACTTTTATCGCTTTCACTTTAGGGTTGGTTCTCTGTGTTGAGCCAGAAATTTAAGCTGTAAATTTTCAAGATTTAACAAATTTACACAACTTCTTTGCGAATGGCTTGTCCTTTTTCATGCTCCTAAAGTTCTATATGTGTTCCAGTGACGATGCTGTATACCTTTTAGATAGTTTTACTTCATTCGAATTTAGCAGAGACAAATCCTACTTTCGCCTTTATACCGCTGTTATTTTAGAAAGAACTCCTTCAGCCAATGAATTTTACTCAGTATTTTATACGCTTGCTGAAATCCCCAAATGTCTTTGATCCATCAACGAAGCCGCTATGAATGTGACTTCAGCTTAGTGTGTCACCGATAATTCTTTCAAGCATATTSAGTTCTCGAACTCTGTAACGACCTCTAGGCTGATCTTAGTCTTGGMGTTAGTTTTGTGCACCTTAGGTAGTACCGCACAAGATGACATCCTTATACATATTCATTTTCATCAAAATGTGTAGGAATATGTTTTGGAAATTGGATGAGAAACATGCCAGTAAAAATCAATCGTGTTCCAAAGTTTTCTCTAAACTGATTTCATAAGTCGTAGTTTTCGCTCTTTTGTGGGTTGTGGTATCGACAAAAAAGCGAAAACAAAGACTTATGGAATCATTCTATGTCTTTCCATGGAGTTAGCAGACTATGGTATAGTTAAGTTAGTAACGTTTAAGTGATTCAGAAATGCTTTCACAAGAGTCTAAAAGACTTTTTCCAAGTGATATTTTTGTAAATCTTAGTCACCATCACTATAAGGCCAGCCACATCTGTAGACATCACGTTTTTACTGATTTCAAATCCACAAGCGTAACCCCCTTCCTGTCGCGAAACCCTTAAAGCCTCCCGACAAAGCTAGTTTTAAGATTCACCTCTCCCGTCTACCAACAGAGCACCAATATTAGCAGTAATAATGTCTCGCATAATGACACCGCGTGCTATCAGGGYTCGGTCAACTTTGTCATAGAGATGTGACATTGAGAGGAAGTTGCTCCCTATAGAGATGTACGATATTARGCATTTCGCTTTTAGTGCGATTGTGTTTTTAACACTGGGCATGGAGCGATGAATCATTGCGCAACAAGAAATCGGAAAAGGAGATTTCGAAGAGAACGCATATTGCTGCATGTGACCCTTTAAGTGGCTTCCAGTATGAACCAATCAGAGATTCTGTAGGGTTAGACTGTAGCACTATAGTGGTAATAAAAAATGCATCAATTAAGGATCGAGAAAGAAACTATAGACAAAGCCCAATAGCTATTACACATCTTTCCCTAAAGAGACTGTATCAGACACTACAGTTACAACATTGTCATTTCCGGCATTGTCGTTGAAGTGCGACCCGCGAAATTTCATGTCTCGTTTGCCGACTAGTATTTCAACAACGGTCAATAAAAGAACTGGAGTAAATAAATGAAAAAACTTGCAATGAAAATCTATATTTTGAGGAGATTTTCATTAAATATTTTAGGTTAGATCGAGGATTAAGATCCGTTTAATTGAGTTCAAAATCTCCCTCAGTCGACAAGAAAAGCACTATATATTTGTTGAAAAAGACAGCTATTAGCTACAATATATAGGTTACATATAGTCTAGATTTCTAGCTTTTGTTATCTTATAGTTTATCTCCGACGAAGGAACTACTATTTCCTATGCTGTGCTCAATATCCAACAAGCAACCAATAACAGTTAGGTCTAAATTGAGCGTGGTATGCTTCCAATCGAGCAATAAATATCAGCCCATATTAGACGATTCATCAATCCCTTAGGCATAGACTATATCAACAGCTATTAATTGATATTGGTATTTGGTTGTACAGTGTGTTGACTGCGGAAAGTGAATTGATATCTTTGGATGGCACCGCGATGGTTGGTAATTGTGCCTCTTGGCGTTTGATTATTGAAATGACTAAAAACCTTAATTATGAGACTCCACGTTCTTTATGCACACTGTAAAATYGTTTTCTGTCACATCGTTTCATCATTCCTATTAATTGAATCGTTTTAGTTATGTAATTGAATTGGGGCACTTTACGATAACAAAAGATTACTCCAAGATTTCTCACGCGAAAATTCCCAAAAAGTAGGATCAAATATTTTTTCTTTTACAGTTTCTTTTATTGTATTAAATACAATATGACTACAAAAGCCTGTTCATCCAACACAAAACRTTTCCCAAGCTTGCAAAAAGAATTGTAGGTTTTAAAGACTAAAAATAAGACTGCCTGCATGACGTACAGGTGCACTTGAGACATCAAACGATGCCGTTYAATAAAGCAGAACAATAGCTTAAATGGTAAAACTAACTCTTGAAACGTGGCTGACTTTGACCTCAAGGTACTATCCCTTTTGGTGGAGTGGATTTGCGATATAAGCTAGTTAGCAAAGTCTTTTAGATCACTAAGGTGAAGGATTAGCTTGCTTGCTGGTGATGGAGAGAGTCATTTGCAGTTTCTCTGATGACACTGGCAATTGATGTCTTTTTTGAACGATGTTTCATGCTATTTCTAGATTCACAATTTAGGGATGGATCAAAGAAAAGATACTTTTCTCGGAGATTCTGCTCTTATTATTTTCTTGGCGAAAGAGGACACTGATAGTAAAATTTACGACAAGATGGCATTCAAGTTCCATGAAATCCGGCCCACAAAAGTAGTCACATCGCAGCTCGTTCCTTTGCTTTAGCTTTGTCTTATTTGGACTCGTCTTGCTTTGGATCTTTCCCTTTATGATTCGAGGGCTTTTTTCCAGGTTCTCCGTTCTTCTTCCCTCCGTAAAGCCCAACACACTAAATTATTATCGCACTAAATTCCAATTCAATCTGTGAATTAGGATCAGCCAAGAGGTTGTTCCTTGCAGGCTTCGGTAAAATGTGAAGGTTTTTTTTCGTTGATCACTTTTCTTGAATGACTGACTTCCTTGAAATCGTATCCAACAGTTACATCGATTCGGTTTTTTTGAGGTTTCCTTCGTAGTAATAGTGAATTTGTTAAACTAAGAGTATAGTGGATTTATCAATCTAGCAACATCTTYCTAACGGGTCCCAGGATGCAAGTTTTGGATGTTGGATCCCATGATGGACTTATACTTCAATACCCTTATGACATATCTGTTTCTGCCACTTGTGCTTCTGTCATTTTCTCACTGAAAGAAGTACAAGTGGTAGGGAAGGGTGTGTTTCTTAACCACATATATGGCTATGATGGAGCGGACAATTGACGAGGAACTGGAAATTCAACATGAGAGAAGAGGCAAGGAGGTCGGATTGTAAGTATAAGAATCAACTAGCGGCAGTACAAAAAAAAAAAAAAAACTTGTTATCGCTTATCACCACCGCAAGTACAGCAGTGGCACGGCTCAACGAGGTCGAACTGAAAGCAAGTGAAAGGCGTACACTCGCCTCTCACATACCTCTGAGCTSTTTATTCGCGACCGAAAGTGAACGGAGGTCAAATATCCATTTACAATCTTGCATAGGTATGTTGTTATTAACATCGCAGAAAGTTAGTTATATTAGTATACTATAGGGGCCTTTGAACGATTTTATAACTGAAGATTCAGTTAATTACTTGGCGTGGCTTATTTTCTATTATTTTGCTGAAGGGCGCCCTAGATAGTGATTGATCACTAACATGCATGTTGATGAACTCATTGTTGGAAAAATTAAAAAAATCGTGGACTCCGAATTTTCTTTATTTTCATTTAGTGATAAATGACATTTTTTTTTAGAATTTCACAATATTTCATATTATATCAACTAAAGCAAAACATTTTATTTTTGGAATATATTGGCAAATATTACAAATAATAGAAAAATAGACATGTTCTTAAAACCTTCAATAGGACGTTTGCATGATCGCGTCATTGACCTTCACTACGAGACTCCCTTGCACACTTTCTTTTTTTCGTTTAATATGCACCAATTGTCTTACTATTCTCATGAGGGAATACAAATTTAAATAAAATTTAAAAAAATTGGCGAAGCAACTCGGTAGTGGGAGTCAAATGACGCCATCATGCAAACGTCCTTTTTGGCGTGCTAGGCTTTCTGGAGGGAGAAATACTGAAGAAAAACTCTTGAATCAAGGGATGTGATGCGGAGTTTGTGTGAAATCAAACCCGAGACTTACTGGTTGGGGACGGGAAGGTGACGCCCAAAGATAAGATGCAAACTGAAAGTGCGCGCGCGTGCTCTGTGCTTTCCGTATAAAACAAGCGCTCCCAACCAATCAGAACGCGAGATTTCTAACTGTTATTTTATAGCGTATCGTATAATCCACATATTGTCCTATATTATAATCACTATACTATGTAAGTTTTAAAAAAAAAAAAATCAGTAAGGCGTGTGCCAATATCTGTCCACCTAATTCATATCTTAAAAAACCGTGGGAGACTGGTAATGAACGTTTAAAGAAATGCTTTGGCTAACGTCACAGGTTTTTAGGAATATAAATATTTACGACAATAGCTGGATTTTCTCCAATTTCTGTTTCTAAGATTATAAACCTTCCGCTTTTGCTTTCAATACTATTTTTAACGACACGCAATGTCACATGAAGGATGTCAAAGAATCAGAAGAATTCTTTATTATCCTGGTAACGAACTTGATAACGAGGACAATTGCCATGAAATAAGAAAAAAAAAACAACAAAGAAAAAAGGAAAAAAAACAAAAGAAACAAACAGAGAAAGAAACATTCAAACAAACAAGTAAAACAGTTGGGGAGCAAAACAAATTCTTAGCCATAATTTTGCTTCTTGGACGAAAAGAGACTATTCACGGTCCCTTTTCCCCTCCAGATTCAGTTCAGTCAATTTGGTAATTTTTCCTGTTTTGGAACTCGTCCCTACTCCCCGCGCATCCAAGACTGGCAAAAACCCATTCTCGTTCTCAGATCCTCCTCGGTTGTCGTTGGAAAACCCTACAACCAGAAGCAAGGAATATTGCGACCGCGTCCTCAGGGCGCATGCTCGAACTCTTTCCAAGACAAGCTAGCAAGACAAGCATGGACAAGCCTTTGGCTTTGTGAAATCTACAAATGAGGAATAAAAACATCGATTATCCAATAGATCTAGAAGATCTATCGTTCTTCTTAAAAGTCAATCAAATTGCAAGAGTTTGTAGGGTTTTCCAAAGCCGAGACAACCGAGGAGGATATGGTAACGAGAATGGGGAAAAAACCCTGACTCAACTGACACTGGAGGCCGGGATAGAAGGCTAACCAGTATCACCACCAGTCTCCCACCCAATGTTCCACGGATATGAATATGGCGTACAATGCTTTATCTTGATCTAGCTTATTTCTTATGGCTGTGGTGCGCCAGCTGGCTTCTCGCCGCCATCTCGTCCTGCAATAGTGATGTAAGGGTTTTCTGTAAAAAATTCCAAAATTAGTATAAAATCAGAATAATAGCCGACTCAAAACTTGAAATTCTGATTGGATATGCCATAATCCAATCAGAATTCGAGTTTTGAAACGATAATTTCGAATTCTTTGTATTCTCAGAAAGGATAATAAATTTCAATATTCAAATAATGAACATATACTATTAATGGAATCTAGGGGCGTTAGCTTGAGCCGTTTTAAATGTAATCCTTTTGCGCTTGTCTTTCTAATAATTTTATATCGAAGTCTAGCTCAGATATGAAGTACAAAATGAATAATCGCTTACCTGCCCATCTTGTGTCCACTTCACCGCCTCGATTTCGGAAATCCAAGAAAATGCAAATACAGAACAGTGGCTRAAAAATATAGAAAGGTATGAGGGAGGAGGGAGGGAGGGAGGGAGGGAAGGAAGGAAGGAAAAAAGAAGGAAGAAACGAAGAAAAGGAAGAAGGAGGAAACGAAGGACGAATGTTTTTGCTACTGACATAGCTTACCTTGAGGATAAGATTGAGAATAGCCATACTTAGCTTTGATTAAAGAACTTGTTTTAGTTGAAGGTCAAAACATTGCACAATAAGCCTGAAGCGAGATGACGTTTTACCCCCGACTCTATACCATAATAGCTTTTAAAAAATTTTCATATTAAATTTTTTGATTCCTTAGAGAATACAGGAACAATAGTCATAATTAAAGAACGGGGGCAGTGTGAAAAGGATTATGGTCTAGAGACGGGGGTAAAACGTCATCTCGCTTCAGGCTTATATTTGATAAAGTTATGTTTTTTATTRCAAGATGAATACGATGAAAACGATAAAACAACTGAAAAGAAAAATTGTTAGCATGAACATTTAATGTCAAAGTTAAGCACCATGAACAAAGGATACCCAGCAGTGAATCTAAGTGTGGACCCTGAAAAACGAAATGATGTATAAATTCAATTACTGGAAATGAAAAGAAATGGAATTGAAGAAATAAAAACAAACTCTTTGTATACACCAAATTTTAAAAAAGTTGTTGGGTTGCAGCAGTCAAATCATCTTAAAGCGAAGACTGAAGGGCGTTCTGGGTAAACAGAAGGGTCAAACCTGCTCAAACATTCATTTCATTATTGGAAGTTTGATTTCCATCTTGCTTTGAAGCTTACATTAATGAAACGAACGTTGCAAATTTGAATTCTGGGCTCGGATTAAAAGTTTATTTAGTTCTTCACATGCAGATTCATGCGAAGCTAAAATTATTTCAACAATTGTAGTGATAATGATAGGAACTGTAATAAAGCTGATATTATGCATAATTGCCGTTTTACAGCTCTTGACCATTGATTCAAGTTACTGAAAAAAGCATTTTGTCACTTTCCATGCATGTGTCTGTATGTAAACACCAAAGACGGATATCAAATGATATCGACTACCCAGAATACCCCTCGGCTTTGATAAAAAATGAAAATCACTTTTATTTAAGTGTCTAGTCGTTCTAGCGCTTTCGCTCTAATTGGGGACACTTTTCGCTCACACCCACTACCCACTACATTTAATATTCTATGCACACAACGGTCAACTCACATGTTGATTTTTACGGAGGGAGGAAACCGGAGAACCCGGAGAAAACCCTCGTAGCATAGGAGAGAACAACACATCAAACAAACTCAATTCACATGTGGCGACCGCAGGGCTCGAACCAACGACCCGACCCGTTGGACCCACAGCGGTGAAAGACGACGCGTTCGCCGCGAACGCCACCCATGCTACCCATAACATAATTTAACCTTTTGAGCCCGACAGCGTTTTACAATTTGGCGTATAAATATTGAATGTGCGACATACAGACCGTTTGGTAAATCACCCAATCTAGAGTCATAATAGATAGCAATAGCAACAATGTCACTGATGATAGTGAAGATCATGRCCAACAGAAACTGAAAGGGAAAATCAAAATATATTGAGATAATGTAATAATATATATTATTAGTAAAAATATGCAGGTGATTATAGAAAATCTCGCGCGCTGATTGGTCAAGAAACTCACACTATCGCACGATAATCACCTCAAGCGAAAATCCAAAATGGCGGCCAGCCGCTTTGTTGCTGTTAATGGGGAAAAAATTTCTTTTATCTTATTTTTTTTTTGAAAGAATCACCTGTGTATTTATGCGAAAACAATTATCTGCCTCGGGCTCAGTGATTATGGTGAATATTTACCTTGCTGATTGGAGACTCGTTGGATTGTTTAATTTCTTACTAACAATCACGTGACTTTTTGGAGTTGACTGGGGGGCAAACAATCGGTTGACTGAGGGGCAACTAGCAAAGCCGACAGCAGTGATGCAAATCAAGGGGGTCGAACGGAAAGCATGTGAAGCTGTCTTTGGCGCCAGCTATACAGTCCATGTATGACCCAGGGGCACAGCTCTAACCAGTTTAGTTAGGGTTAATTTGGGACGAGGGAGGAAAATCCGGAAGGCCGGAAAAACCCTCGGAATAAAAAATTGAACCAAGCACCTTGGCTAAGATGACTGGGATGGGATACTCAGCATGGTGTACTCACCATCACGGACGGATCAGTGCGCTGTGAGTCAGCTATTGCCCATAATCCAACAATAAACAAAAGAAAATTGCTAAACACKTAAGAAGTCGGCAGAAATGTATACAAGGTTGCCCTGAATAATTAAAAGGATACAGTATATTCAGTATAGCTCATACGAAGGACTTTACAATATTTAATAAATTGAATTAAAGAGTTTAGAGGATAAGACTAAAAATCTTTAATTCAGTTTGAAATCTCCCTCGATATAGTGCATATCAAACATTGAGTGTCGTATTTCCCTGTGTCGCTCTTTGAAAAAAGGACTAGGGAAGAGCTTAGCAGCCAGGTCAAGGGTCGTCCCCGTATATCCTTCCCATTTGACGAGAACCTCTCCTTCTCTTTTCTCCAAAACTTCCTCGATTTCCAAAGTTTTTCTTTTTTTATACTTTTCTTTTTTTTCCTTTTCTTTTCTTCACAATCCAAATATGGAATTGATCATACCAAATATGGAGTGAGCTTTCTCTACTCCAACTTCGACACTAAGGCCCCGTCCACACGTATCCGGAAATTTTTGTATCCGCAAATTATTTTTTGCGGATACGAAAATGTTTGCGACCACACGCAGCGTATCCGAATCGTTTTCACTGTCCACACGTATCCGTTTTCATAAAATTTGCAAATACGGACACAAAAATTTGCGGACACGTGTGGACGCAACCCGTATCCGTTAAAAAAAATTTGCGGATACAAAAGTTTGCGGATACGTGTGGACGGGGTCTAACATATAGAGTAAAGCTTGGTATGTTTTTTATTGCAGTTCTTTGATTGGCAGTCGTTAAAATGCTACTGTGAACGGCATCAAACTTCGCGGGTCGCACTTCAACGATGATGGTAGTAATAAGCCTGAAGCGAGATACCCCCGTCTCTAATCCATAATCCTTTTCACACTGCTTTTGTTCTTTAATTATGACTATTGTTCCTGTATTCTCTAAGGAATCAAAAATTTTAATATGAAAGAATTTTAAAAACTATTATGGTATAGAGTCGGGGGTAAAACGTCATCTCGCTTAAGGCTTATTGCAATCTCAAAAATATCATAAACTACTTACCATGTAGTCAAGGCAAAGTGAATACAGACGATTATCTACGAGAAAGGAAAACAAGGGTTATGAGTTGTACATCTCTATTGCTGGTTTTCAATCATTACCAAGAGAATGAAATAACAAAGACACGGCGGCCATGTTGGAGGATATAACAAAAGAGACTAATGACTAATTCTGTATCGGTAAACGTAATGTTCACAAACATTGCCATTTTTACGTTGTGCCTCTGATTTTAACTGTAGGTTTTGTTAATTTGCTTTGTTGGATTGTTTAGTGTTGACTGAGGGGCAACTAGCGGATGTTAAGTCAAAACATGTCAAAATAAGTCCTCAAACTATTGTATATGGCTATTTCTACGACATGAAGCCAGAAAACAAGAGAACAAAACGACCTCCAAGATTCTACAGGATTCTACCAACCATTAAAAACGCAGCTATTACCGAAAGTGACGTCTATTGATAGCAACCTATACCTTCTGGCTGGCAATTTAAATAACAATCAACCAAGACAAATTGTAAAATAGCTGTCATAAATGTCGCGCAAAATACTACAAAATATCCTAAAATATAAAATATATCTATTAATATATAATCATAAAATCTATTTGGTAAAAACTAATCCTAACATATATTCTATAAAATAATGGCAATTATATATAAAAATATATGGGGGGAAAATCTAGCTAATTGCTGCCATTGAAATTAAAGACAAAAGAAAGGAAACAAAGAAAGATGTACAAACAAACAAGGAAAAATAAGAACGGTCCTTGAGGCAGGTTGACTATTTTCGACTGTCATATCAGTCATTCATAAAAAAGAAAAAGAAAGAAAAAAAAAACTTTAACTAACGAGTATATATATTTTTCTTTACTTAGATTTCTATTTATTGAGCTTTTACTCCTCTTTCTTTTCAGCAAAACATCAATATTAAGTTCATGTACGAAGAAATCCGGAGCAACATTTGCAATACGAAGGTTACTGCATGTTACTGAAAGAATGTTTTTCTATTGTGTCTGTTTGTTAGGGTTTTTTGGTCGATATATTTTTAGTCAAAAGTCTAGTCTGTGTGAAATACATATCATTAAGTCAGGAAAGGGGGGGATAGGACGTCTTAAGTGGACATCAATTACTAAGTTAGCTTGAATCACAAGCGGAGAGAGAAAGAGAGTAAGGGACAGGGAGAGAGGACCAAATGCATCGGCAAAATTCGTCAAGAAGACAATGCGAAAATCAATATTTGTCTAGGAAATTGAGGAACGATGTTTTCCAACGTCTAAAAGAACCTCTGGGCTGATGGATCAGGCACGGTCATCTCACACAATGAATTGAAATTTAGCATGTTAAAAAACGGATGTGSGGATGGATTATAAAACGATGATCGGAACMCCCACAGAATAGCTCTCCAATCAAGGCAGGGAACTAACAAACTTTACTCTCACATAATACAGAGTCTAGGAATAGAACAAAATACACATACATCCCTCCAAACGACAAGGATTTTGCTATAC